TAATTATTATAGTAAGTAATGTTATCGAATGTCCTTATTACTTAATTGATTACTTTGTCATTGTAAAGTAATATTGTATATTCGATTGTAGCTGAAGAGGAGACTTTGAATTTTTATCAACGACTCGAAATATAAAGAGGAAAGTAGGGTAATGCCGTGAACCTAAGATAAAAATATTCAAATATTAGGCTACATTACTCTTCAAACATTTACGTAAATTGTGGATACGAACGTTAATCGTATCTGAATAGCGAAACCGATATATAAAAATAATGTTTTAATACTAAAGTTTTAACTATTACAAAAATAGGTATAGATAAGTTAGGGTCTTTTGAACATTATCATAATAGAACTTAATTTCTATTTCATATAAATAGTTTGAAAGTTATTTTTAAAAACAGAACCATCTATTGATTTGCTAGTATAAAAGTAAGCAACAATCTGTTTCCACCTTGTAAATATACCATTAAACTTAAAAGACTAGTGAATGAGTAGCCAAGCCTGTATGATTTGGCAATGTTATCTCGCCACAATATGCATTAGTACTTTGCTTTGAGTAAGCTGTCATAATCTCTTGAACCACAGCTAAATCTCAATCCTAATGCTGTACATACTGACAAACTTTAAACTTTTATTTTCTATTCCTAACTAATCATTTATAAAAATTAGATAATTTAAAGTGTAATTTAAAATATATTTTATCCTTTTTCAATATTATGCTTTTTAAGTGATCAATTATTTTATCTTTACATTTTTAAAAACTGAAATCTTTATTGAATATTGTAGAATTATTATGTTGAAAAGTATCTGTTGTTGATTCATAACTTGATGCTTGTTCAACAAAACTTGCATCATCTTTTAAAATTTTACAGGTTTTTGAAGGAAGTGGATTTCTTACTGGTGGAGCCTTTCTAGATATTTTAACAGGTGCATAAGAAAATATGAAAGGGACAGCATTATGCTTAAATTTTCTAGTTCCATCAACTCTAGTTTTTTCCCACTGATCATCAGGAAAATGTACCAGAAAATCAGATTAAGTGTATCATTTCAGATATTAAGACAGCACATTTTGATTTAAACAATTTATGCTATTACTTATTTAATTGCATGGAACTTATCAAATAATTATACAATTGCAAATCATAACATAAGAACATATAAGGTAATTTTTATTTATATAACATAAGTAAAGAGTCTTATATTAGTAATACATATAAGTTATTAACTAAGAAATAGATTGATATGATATCATATAATTTATATTTAATATAAAATGTATAAAATATATGATTTATACAGGTATACACTATAATAAATCTAATAATATATATATGTTACTGGTTTGTAATTGTATAAGTATTTGATAAGTTCCATGCAATTAAATAAGTAATATAATATAAAATATAGGATATGTTTATAGAATATTAAATGTATTCTACTGTGAGGTGTATTTATAAAACAACTTAATTCCAACACATGATACTTATATATTATTATTGTTATTTATTAAACTGAAATACAGTAATAATTTACTATAAGTACTTATGATAAATACTGTGTAATTAAAATATATTTATTATTCACCAATCATTTTTATATCAAATTCTATTTTTTATATATCTTATGTTCTAAATTACAAATCTACTGTAATTTACAATACTTTTTATTAAAATAAAGTAGATTTGTATAATTAAGAACTTTCATATCAGATATTGTATATCACATATTATAAATATCAATACATGTCAATACTCATAAATAATTTATGTATACAGATTTTTTAATTTAAATTTTAAGCAATTTAGACTGTTTTATGAATGAATATATCATCCGTATATAAAATAAAAATTTTGCATACGTAGGTGATTATTAATACTTCACTTACCTCACATAAATTGCTATTGTCGATTGCTTTCCAGTTTTCTCTTTTCACTTTTGTTTCTCAAAGTTAACGACGTGCAGGATCTTTCGGGAAAACTTTCATCAAAAATCCTTTCTCGCTGCGATTTGTGCAGCCGAAAGCAATACATCCAGTCATACTGTACGAATTATTTAAGTTAAAATAAGTTAAATTAACAACAGAATATCAGTTTTCTAAGCATTTCCGACCCTGCATTGCTATGCGATTACGAGTCGTCGGGATGCACCCTACTCCTCTGAGAAGTTCTGAAACGTTTAACTGAGACACCCTGTATAACAACTCGCATAAAACTCAAAAACTTAAGATTAATACAAATAAATAGTATATCGCCATTAGAAATATTGTCTATATAATCTTAATACCTTTGATTCATTTTAATTTGTTTGCGGTACAACGAACATAGAGACGGTAAAATTTATCCAATCTCGCTAACACGTTGTTTGGATGAATAATGGCGGCTTAAGTCACTTGATAACAAACTGCCAATAGGAAAGCGTTCTTTACACGACATCTATCTAATTATAGGTTCTCTAGACAATTATATTTCGAGGAAAAAATGTTATTAGAACAATAAAATTACATTTGACACATTTATAGTAGGCCAATGTGCTCGATACAGGATCTTTCTCTGTCGACCACATGTTGCAACTGTCGCACATAAACATGATTTTTCAATCAACTCCGGAGCCAGAATCATACGTTTTTTGATAGAACAGCGCCAAATTTTCTCCGGTGATAAATATTTCAACTAATTTTCCCTGCAGAGCGCTTCCTCGTGATCTGATTTGCATATGTACCGAGTTTCATTCGATTCGGTTCAGTAAAGCCGGTTCTACGCGTGCCTGAGTACCGTCATTTTAACCACCCTTATAAAAAAGTTCAGCAACGAGTTGATTAACTTTCCCGGCAACATTTGGTGGCGTCATTCGTTATCATATTTTATTAAATACTTTTTATATTTTTAACTATTATAAAATGGTAAAAAGCTTAATTTTGAGAGTAGAGATGGGTTTTATAAAAAAAAATTGTACAGTCTAATTAACGAGTAAAATCGTCATTAAGTCCGACCCTACTGGAGATACACACGACCCCTTTATTTCCCCACTCCTCCACCTTTAATCATTAAAATTTAATAGCATTATTCTTTCTAATAAACAAACCTCCCTGCTAAATTTCAGAAATTTTCGACAAAAATAACAGGCGTTATTAAGCTCCAAACTGGTTTAAAAAATAATCCTTTCCCTCACACACACACACTAACATTTATATAAACAGAAAAAACCCCCCAAACTTTTTTGCATTTCTCGACGTTTCAAAGTGTCCTGAGTCCAGAAATATAAAAACCTAGGCAACGGAGTAGCGTGGGTGTCATCCGCACGGGACGGAGAAAAATTTCGCCGTCCCGTTATTTAGGTAGCTCAATTTAAAAGACTAAAATTCAGTTTCGTAACAGAAGAACAAGTAATAAAAATTTCCTTACCAGAGTAGCCACTCGTGTAAAATAGCTCCACTGGATATTGGAGGTGTATATGAGAACAAATGAATCATACAAGAAAAAAAAAAGGTCAACAGGCTGCGTGCACGGGTGAAATTAATAGTTCACTCGGACGATAAGTCTATTCCCTGACTATTCCGTGCTCATTTCAATCGGTCCGGATCGTAGGTGCGACGAGGCTATGGGATAAAATGGTTCAAATTTTTACAAGATAATATTATTTATTGTGAAATTTTGCCGCNTGGTTGCTATGCCTTGACTCTGGTCCGGCATAGTACACAGCCACCGGTGTGAACCGAGTATAACTCACAAAACCCAACATAATAATAATAATAATAAGCGGAGAGTCCAAACGGTTAGGAGTTGAAAGTTGAAATTTGGTACACAGTTAGGGTACGTTACGAGAATGTACAGTACACTAAGAAGGGATTTTTCGAAATTCCTTCCCGGGGGAGAGAGGGAGAGATTTAAGGCTTATCCTAAGAAACAGCTTCTACTGTACTATTTTAGATGCGATTTTTTTTATTTTTATTTTTACTGCACTTTAGATTTTAGGATTTAAAATTAATCATTTTATTCAAGTAAGGATATCACAGTTCTTACGCCCGGTGAAAACGGGTAAGATCGGCTATAATCTAATAATCTTAATCTTCGCTTCTGTTACTTTCTGCCCGAGCAACGCTGGGCTCATCTGCTAGTTAAATATAACTATTAATTACAGAATATACGCAACCGTAGACGGTAATCGACTGTTAGTTATTTTCCCTTAATTGTGTTGATTCTTTGACTCTAATCATCATCAATATATATTATAAAGGTAAGTGTACAATGTGCGTGCCGCTAAAACTGAAAAACGAGTCCCGATACGATTAAGGGAGTTATATGGTGTGGTAGCCCTCTATCCCCCATCTATGAAGAAGGTTCCCGTTTTTACCTGAAAGGCGTGCTGTTGAAGATATAAGGGCTGGAAGTTTCGCCCTCTAGAAATTTCTAGAACAGTCCAGAACATTCGAGAGTATTCCAGAACATTCCAGAACATTCCAGAATGTTCCGGGATGTTCTGGAACGTTCGGAAACATCGCGGAACATCCCAGATCATTGTGCAACATTCCAGAACACTCTCGAACGTTGTGGAATGTTCTGGAACATTATGGACCATTCGAAGCCTTTTTTGTATGAATGGGACTACCTACTGGTGGAGGTATATAAAGCAAGATTCGTNTTTATTTAGATACCCTGAAAGTATACATAAGCATTACATTATACTTTATGTTTAGTAAAATCATTTTGAAAAGAGATGAGAGCGTATAAGTTTCCTATAACAATATTTTTCTATCTCGAGACTAGAAGATATTAAACACTGTTCGTCGCTGCTATAAAGAATGTGGATAAGCTATTGCAGGTTAGATCGAACCCATAACAAGATTGAAATATAAGTTGTTATGGATTAAAGTGAAGAAACAACTTTTTTATATAAGAAGACTTATAATACTTTACAAGTTACTTTATAAAAAAATTTTTTTATAAAACTATATATAGTCATTTACAAAGTAACATTTAGGAATTGAAATGATTCATAAATGTTATTTTCTTGTGCCGTAATTTATTATAAGAGCCGATTACTTACAAATGTGCCGATTCGTGAGCAAAAGTATCATCTCTATCGACATAAGAATCATCATCTTCCATTATACCACATTTTGAACATGGATCACAAGCGCCTCCTAAGTTTGCAATTCCTACAAAAATATTTCAAATATATTTGTATAAATTTAATAAAAATTAATAAAGTGTACTTTAAAAAAGAAAAATGACAAATACCTACGGTACCGTCAGATATAATTCCGTTGGAATTAATGTCTCCCAGTTTTCTCCTAAGAAATATGAAAGAATTATTCTAAATCATTGTACAAATGAATCAAGTTTGAAACAAACCTAATTATAAGCATAATTATATCTGCCTGCTTGACTATTGGATCATTTTCTAGTTTACAATAATAATTTGACATTGTATCGAGCAGTTTTCCGGAATCGAGAAGATGTTTTGCTCCCGGAATTGCACTCTTTTCTATGAAAGAAGGCTCATTTCTTTTCTGAAAATAAAAACAATATAATAAAAATAAATAATTTGTATCTGTCTCTGTCTCTTTCTTTCTTCATTCACTCTTTCTTTTTCCGTCTCCATTTTCTCTTCTCTCTCTCTTTATCACACTACTTTCTCTCCTCTCTCCATTTCCTTCATTCTCTCCATTCGTTCTCTATTTTCTCTTTCCTCTCTCTTCATTCTATTCTCCATCTCTGTCATTCTGTCGTCTCTCGCTCTCCTCTTCTCTTCTCTATTCATAAATAAACTTTTCCCCCATTGCACTTACAGTAAAGGGCATCAATGCAATCAAACGGAGTTTAATTCCGAAATGTAAAGTGTCAATCAAATTTTGAGCCTAAGGAATAAAATGGATTTGAATTCCCAACAATTTTAAACTTATTTAAATTAAATTTTTAACTTATAATTATTACAATGAGTAACATTAAGCACAAAATATATCTTACTCCGACAAACATAAGAGATAAATGGACTTTCATATCTTCTATATTCGAAAATCGGCTTGTGAAATTGCTTTCAGTTACCAACAAATATTCTATCACTATGCATTGGTTATAGCTTAATTTCTTCATCTTTTGATCCGTGTACATTTTTTTTATGTTCGGAGGAATTACTAAAATAAATCACGAGAAAAAATGGAGTAAAGTTATATAATTTCTAATGTAATATGTAGACAATTTATAGGAATTGCAACTTACCCACGTCATTGAATTGACGTTTCTTGGATAAAAGTTTTGTAATTCGGTGAGCTTTTTTTCCATCTTTGATCAATTCGTTGGATTCATAAGGCATGATTTTAAATTTGGAATTGATTATTCCATTCTAGAAGCAAATAAAATTCTGAAGAACTGATATTTATATTCATCTAAATGTTTATAAAAACGTTTATTAAATCTTAATTACTTGTTTCTGAAATATTTCGTAAACAATAATAAATCATTTTGATTTCTTGAAAAAATTTGAAAATAAAATATAATTTTGCCTGAGACACTCACATAATCAATTTTGTCGAGTTTCGATACACATTTAAAATAGATTAAATCGACTATAAATTCCATGTTAATAAGTTATTTTCATGAATTTTACAGATAAATGTATCCACATTACAATTGCAATATTTTAAATTTTAATCAATAATTTCTATTCTGAGTATATCATTAAATAATTCATCCTTTTATGTTCTCAAAAACTCCGATTACAATACCGAAACTTAATGATAAATTTAATCTATAAAAGCATAAAAGTTACTAAAACTATCAATTATTTTCATTATGACCTATCGCTTTGAGGGATCCGGGATCAATCCCATAAGTTTCTAGGTCAGTTTCTGTTTCGCCACCATCCGATAGCCCCATTCTAAACCTGGCCAAACCCACGGTGGCTATGGAAAAAAATACTTTTTAATACCCACAAACGGGAAAAGTCATAACAAATAGGCCGATATTTTTATTAGCATATTATTGTTGTACGATCACTTAATATAACTAAATTAACATAAATGAGTTACTATTCACAGTTACTCTAAAATTATTTATGAAATGTTTTTTCACGACAAATTTATTTGTGTCATTTAAAAAAAATTGTTTAGATTTAGCTACTTTCAAAATATTAGGACGAGAATTTTCAAACGCATTAAGACATCATTTGCAGTATATGATTCATTAACAGTATAAATACAAACAATTTAGTTATTAATTAAGAAAATAAATAATATTTAATAAGTAGTTCACCTAACATTCTCTTTTATTAATCTTATTTAACCTTTTTTTTTTGAAAAAATATCTGCTAATCTTTACCCATAAAAAACTGAGGAAACCAGATTGAAAAGTAAAGCTGAAAGAAAACACCTAAATAAAGAAAATTTTCGAAAGTTCTGGCATAACAATAGTGGTTGCAGATTTGACAGTAAGTGTCAACATCTGTATAAAGTACGCATTACTCAGACTACAACTCCGAGAAGTTTTGGATGAAGCAATGTCACCGTGATAATAAATCGGGAAAACAAGCATCGTCACAAAAGGGCTTCGAAGTTTACTTTGGGCTTTAGAGTAGTTGCACCCGCAATAATTTGGCTGAACCTTTGAGCAACGTTAATGAAGAAATTTTAAGGCATAAAGTACAGCTCGAGGTATTTTTCTATGACAGCGATTCCCAACCGTGTTGTGGTGGTTTAAGAGTAAGCGGAAAAAATTAATAATGGCAGATGTAGTCTACTATAAGAATTTGCGGATTTTGCGCTGAGGCCTTCATCAACATCATGACATTCGATACTTAGTTTTAAATAAAATTATATTTATGTGTCTTTCCTCTAAAGCTTTTCAAACGAGCTATTAAACATACGTTGTATGCAGACTCCTACATTGTTCGGAAGCTCGGTGTCTCTCTTCTCTCTTCTTATAAATCTAAGCCAGAATATGCCGATCACGTAAGTCAATAACGATTCAACGATTTTATTCAAAATTTAAGATGTCCAGAGTACTCGTCGTGGACAGTAAATATTTTAAATTTCATCCCAATCGGTTTATTAGTCGTGGAGATATTAAGGGTAAAAACTGTCACTTACGTTAAACGTGTGATGTACAGTATTTAAGTTAAATAAGTTGTAAAAAGTGTTTTTTTATACTTTACGGATGTTTTTCTATTTTTGTTTTTATGTTAATGTTTCCAATGTTCTCTTTTATTCTATAATCTTTTCCATTATTCATCTTTTATTAACTACATTTTTATTCTTAATTGCTACTTGTACTTTACAGTACTTCATTGTACCAGTAATATTTTAATTCATAATTAAAATTAACAAATAACCGTTCACATCCTTAAACTAAAATTATTCGTAATTGGTTAATTTTTGACTCTGACTTAATGCTCGATAAAAAAATGAGAATGATAAGATAATAAAGAGACATATTTCTCTGTTTCTTTCTTTTAGTTGTTTCTAAATCTGTCTATACTAACGGGTCAGAAAGTTATATTGCACTGAGCGACGAATGAGAAATATGCTAAGAGCTATCATAACAAACAGTAAATGACTAAAATTTAAAAACTAAAAGGTAAAAAAAAAATGATTTATATCCAGGCAAAATTTTAAAACTGAATAAAACTAACTATTGTTAGTGGTCCATCTTCATCGATATGAAATGCTGCTCCTTTTTCTTTATTTCTGAACAGTTTCTGTTTAAAATTACCTACATCAGCCTTAAAACACAAAGAAGATTGAGCAGTTAGGTTATTTTTATACGTAATTATAATGAAAAATAAATTTAAAATACCGAATAATGTTTATTTTCATCATTTAAATGAGTTATAGTAAAATTGTCCGCTATTAGTTGATCAGCAGGTTCCAATATTATATCTACGTCTTGTTCGTCAACACGAAACGTAATTCTCTTTTCTCCAGATTTTAATGTCTTCAAAGTTGGGTAAAATACATCAACTCGATCTGGATTATCTGAGATAAAATACGGTTTAAATTACTTATCTAAATTTCGGTTAAGGTAAATTTGACAGCGTAAAGAATTGATATCGAGGAGCCAAACGATTGTTAATAGAAATAAATGGAAAGGCGGGATAAACTACGTATAAAAGTTTAATGTCGTTTGTAAAGTAAAATAGAAAATTTATGCAAGAGATCATACATTTAAAACAGTAATGCTCTTTGAAATATGTAAAAATGCAAGCTAATAAAAATAAAGAAATTTATAATAAACCTGCAGAAAGTTTATTGATAATATATATAACTCTATTTTTCGGTTGTTTCTAGAACTTATTTAAAATATATGTTATATAAATTCTTATTTACTTACCAATTGGTGAAGCCAAAACGACTGTAGAAAATATAAAAATCGTTAGTAAGGAAAACATAGTTTATAAAAATTAAAATTCTAATTCATTTATAGATATCACTACTTCGGAGTAGAATTGGCCTTTAATTTCTTCTCATCTAAAAGATTTATTATATATATATATATATTTATGAAAGAATATATAAATAGGTAATTGTACTTTGGATATTTATCTTCTGAATATAATCTATTAATATAATCAATATTGATATTGATTATATATCACATAATATATTATTCTAGCTCGTACTAACTTATGTTTATAGTAAATAAAATGAAAATTCAATTTGAAGAATAAATTTATTTCAATATTTATTTTAACCCAGATGACGTTTTATATTTAACACTTTAAAATTTTAGAATTTTCATTTTGTAGCGGAAATCATCATCAAAAATGAAAAAAATATCAAGTGTTTTCTTATAACATGCTTTTTGTTTGAAACAGTAATTTATAAAATTTATCTTTGTATCTTATAACATTGTCAGAGGTGTCTAGCTGACAAATAATGCGTTTGAATATCGAAAAAACGGAAAAGCGGAAGAATCGACATCACATAAGCGTACTGTATGATTTTTCGGACGATCGTTTGTATCTAATTTCTTCTAGAAATGGCTCTTAGACACATTTTAGAAAAATAATTCGATTTACGTGTAAAGAAATAATACAGTTATTCATAAATTCAACGAATAATGTTAAGCCAGATGTTAACTAATAGTAAGATGTTAGACTAACTCACGGGTTTTTAACCTTGTTTTGTTCCATTAACCCCTTTCCAGTAAGGTGAAAATCACGGACCTCTTCTGAGAATAATGTTTTTAGTTGATGCACAATTTTTCCAAACTTTCCTAATTCAGAAGAAATCAAAGTCTATTTAACTATGGCATTAGTGTGAGTAAGCTGAAATCCTTCGTATCATAATTTATTACTATTTGTGAGTTTTCGTGTAGTGTTTTAATGGTTTTTTTAATACAATCAATGTAATAAATTGTTAATTTTATGTTGTTTTATAGAATATTGATATATTCTAGGTTCAAAATATAATGGATACGTTAAATCTGCGAATAAAGGTGCGCTTGATCGGAGTTACAGAATACAATGTAAGTAGAATGCTGAGAAATATATTAATTAAAACTGCAGGATGACAAATTGTAATTAAATTCTTCACAACGTGTGAAAGGGGACGACTTGTGAAGACATTTTTACTTTAATGTAATCTTTTTTATAAACTTTGTAAACTTTTATCATATAGAGCTACAAAATTTAATAGCCTACTTGGTTATCCTTTATTACATAAAAGTAATAAATTATAATAAAGTTATGTTATAATTTTATTATTTAGCTACAATTTTTATATTGTAATATTTGTTATCATTAAATATTTCTTATAAAATAAAAGTCTTGTTACGAAAGTAAAGTAAATGTATATCAATCTTTATGTTACTTTTTTACTGACGATTTTATTATATTTTTTACACAGCAATTTTTTTTAAATTTTTATTTTCTGTTTTCAGGAAGAAAATGAACCTAATTACATCAAACAGAGTGAAATTGCTGGGCATAAAGGAATTATATCTGTTAATCAATTAATAGGAAATATGATGGATTATTTTTGTCAACACCAAAATGACAAAGGTTTTGAAAAATATAAAAAAGCTAATATAATTATGCTTATAACTAGGTGACAAATTAATTTTATTCTTAATTTTCTAATCTGTTTAAAGCACTTTTAATTATAACGGTAATACTTTATATTCTTTACTGCGTTTTAGACGAACATTTGGTAATCTATATCCGGATGGAAAACTTTTTACATGCATAACAGGTATTTAATTTTACTTATAAATTCTTAATTACATTACCTAATGGCGCTATCTCTAAATGAATTCAATAAAATATTTAATTCATTCATCCCTAAATGAATTAAATATTTTATTGAATTCATTTATGGATAGCGCCTTTAGTGCTGCGGCTTGCGACTCTTGCGGTTAATATGGAGCCGTTAATGTCGGTGACGATCCTCTTTATAGAGATGAAATTATAGCTCACGAATCTGCTCATTTGTAAATAATTTTTGTATTACAAAGAACAATTAAAGTCATTTTATCATCTAACAAATATTTTTCTAGAATGGGCAGCCCTCACGACGGGGAAGGCCTCGAAAAGGAGTCCAGGGGCTAAGGGTTGTCCCGGAAGCGATGGATTTATAATGGGCGATGAGATTGGTGAAAATAAACGAAAATTTTCTAATTGTTCGCACGAGAATATTAAATATTTCCTAAGGTAAATATAATTCCTCTGTGTCAAAGTATTTTAAAATAAACACATTTTAATAACTTTTTTCATTTTTAACAGCTTGCCGACTTTCCAATGTATTACTCGAGATTGCAAAAAATAAAAAATGATACAATAATGTAAACAATCCTATGANAAAAAAACTATATTACATACAAATGTACGAACAAATAAAAACCCAGCGAAGCGGGTCCTTGCAGCTAGTCTATATATATAATCGAGACGGGTTGATAATAATAATAATAAGCGCAGAGCCCAAACGGTTAGGAGTTCAAAGTTGAAATTTGGTACACAGTTAGAGAATGTACACTAAGAAGGGATTTTTTCGAAATTCTCCCCACGGGGGAGAGGGACAGGATTAACGTTTCGACAATGGAAGCTTTAAGAGAAAGCAACGTGCAAGATTTACAGGCGCAGATGCGGTTTTTTTGCGTTTTTGCGTTTTTGCGAGAAATCGAACATATTTTTAGCACCATCTAAAAATTTTATAATTAGTCTGGAAACAGGGGCACCTGGTTATTGCATTCTGTGAAAACGGGTAAGATTGGCTATAATGTAATAATCTTAATCTTCGCTATCGTTACTTTTTGCCCGAGCAACGCCGGGATTATCTGCTAGTGGACATATAAATAAATGATAGTTACAATTCACATGTCAGTATCCATAGATGTAATTCATTGCAGTTAAAACCCATAAAATACATAATAAGAGAAAAAAATTTCATATCAGGATTTTTTTCATAAATTTTAATAAACTCCCTTTAATGAAAGCATTTTTATTTATTTGACGAAGTGTTATTTCTACAGAATATTTCCAGAAATAAATGAATATTATGTGAACATCACCAATATTTTAAATATTTACATATAAAATGTGCTCTATATACTTTCAATTACCGTTATTTTCGATCATCGTAACAATTGTCGAAAAGACAATTGGCACTAAAAGACCTGTTAAACATAAAAGTATATAAAATAATATTTGCTTTAAATCATCAATTTTAATTAGATAAAATGTCACTTACCATAGAAAATGTATAAAATGTTCTCTAGAACACGAAGAAAATTTCATTTTATTTGCACCTGTATCATCACCCATAATATAACCATCTTCACTTGGACAATGTACTGCTGTTGGACTACCAGATGAGCCATCTTCTTCGTCTTCTCCGTCATGATCAATTCCAATTCTAAAACAGAGATTTCTAAATTTATCTATAAGTATCTTATTATTTGTAGGATATATGTATAAATATTAAATATTTAGGCTATGTATCTTAATCAAAGAAGTCAAAGTCTTTTATATATACTGTAATTAGCCTAAATAACCGGCTTCGCTCGAGAAAATGATATGTGAAATAAAGGTAATATATTCATATAAATATTTACACACTTATAAAAATATATGTACAGTACTTGTACTAAACTTATAAGTAATATAATAGATACTACAAAGAAAAAAAAATCATTTTTACGTCGAAATTTACTTTAAATAAATTCTATATCATGAGATGTATTCAGCCGTTCTGACTTCATACTCGAACAGTCAGACAGATAGGCCTGAATTCGAAAGTATTCTATTTTCTTCCCAAGTCTATCCTGAATATATGCACTAACTGTCTTAGAAATCGGTGCATACGATACTCGAACAAACAGACAAACAATTTTAAATAACAATAAAATGAAGGGTGTTTGAAATCATATCTTTTCAAAATAAAATGATCATTTTTATTAATAAAACCTTATTATTAACCATAATTTCTTATATTAAGTTTTATATCTCGTAGTAAAGTAAGTCAAATATGCGTTATTCTTAATAAAATAATAAATTTATTCAGCAAAATATCTCTTCTGTAACAGATAGCTCGTGGTGTCTTACTCTGCCTCTACTAGCTCACAAAGTAACCTATGAGACTAGTGTTCATTAACATCCAAATTGATGAAAAATGACACAAGTTTTTTGTATAAGTTAATATTCTTGTGACTATTTTTTTATTATAAATAATACTTTTTATTAAACTGCTTTATTTATTATGAGATATAACATTCAAACAAAGTTTAAATATCTATGCTTTATGAAATCATTTGGAAAAGTGATGAGATCGTATAAGTTTCCTGTAACAACACTTTTCTATCTCGAAGCTAGAAGCTATTAATTAAACACTGCTAAACCATCTGGATAAACTATTGTAGGTTCGGTCGAACACATAACAAGATTGAAATAAAAGCTGTTATGGATTAAAGTGAAGAAATATTTTTTCATATAAGACGATTTATAATACTTTATAAGTTACTACTTTTTATAAAACTGTATATAGTCATTTACGAAGTAACAATTAGGAATTGAAATGATTCATAAATGTTATTTTCTTGTGCTGTAACTTATTATAAGAGCCGATTACTTACAAATGTGCCGATTCGTGAGCAAAAGTATCATCTCTATCGACATAAGAATCATCATCTTCCACTATACCACATTTTAAACATGGATTACAAGCGCCTCCTAAGTTTGCAATTCCTACAAAAATATTCCAAATATATTTTTATAAATTTAATAAAAATTTATAAAGTGTGCTTTAGGAAAAGAAAAATGACAAATACCTACGGTACCGTCAGATATAGTGTCGTCGGAATTAATGTCTCCCAGTTTTCTCCTGAGAAATATGAAAGAATTATTGTAAATCATTATACAAATGAATCAAGTTTGATACAAACCTAGTTATAAGCATAATTATATCTGCCTGCTTGACTATTGGATCCCTTCTTAGTTTACAATAATAATTTGACATTTCATCGAGCAGTTTTTCGGAATGGAGAAGACGTCTTTCTCCCGGAATTGTACTACTTTCTATGAAAGAAGGCTCATTTCTTTTCTGAAAATAAAAACAATATAATAAAAATAAATAATTTGTATCTGTCTCTGTCTCTTTCTTTCTTCATTCACTCTTTCTTTTTCCGTCTCCATTTTCTCTTCTCTCTCTCTTTATCACACTACTTTCTCTCCTCTCTCCATTTCCTTCATTCTCTCCATTCGTTCTCTATTCTCTCTTTCCTCTCTCTTCATTCTATTCTCCATCTCTGTCATTCTGTCGTCTCTCGCTCTCCTCTTCTCTTCTCTATTCATAAATAAACTTTTCCCCCATTGCACTTACAGTAAAGGGCATCAATGCAATCAAACGGAGTTTAATTCCGAAATGTAAAGTGTCAATCAAATTTTGAGCCTAAGGAATAAAATGGATTTGAATTCCCAACAATTTTAAACTTATTTAAATTAAATTTTTAACTTATAATTATTACAATGAGTAACATTAAGCACAAAATATATCTTACTCCGACAAACATAAGAGATAAATGGACTTTCATATCTTCTATATTCGAAAATCGGCTTGTGAAATTGCTTTCAGTTACCAACAAATATTCTATCACTATGCATTGGTTATAGCTTAATTTCTTCATCTTTTGATCCGTGTACATTTTTTTTATGTTCGGAGGAATTACTAAAATAAATCACGAGAAAAAATCGAGTAAAGTTATATAATTTCTAATGTAATATGTAGACAATTTATAGGAATTGCAACTTACCCACGTCATTGAATTGACGTTTCTTGGATAAAAGTTTTGTAATTCGGTGAGCTTTTTTTCCATCTTTGATCAATTCGTTGGATTCATAAGGCATGATTTTAAATTTGGAATTGATTATTCCATTCTAGAAGCAAATAAAATTCTGAAGAACTGATATTTATATTCATCTAAATGTTTATAAAAACGTTTATTAAATCTTAATTACTTGTTTCTGAAATATTTCGTGAACAATAATAAATCATTTTGATTTCTTGAAAAAATTTGAAAATAAAATATAATTTTGCCTGAGACACTCACATAATCAATTTTGTCGAGTTTCGATACACATTTAAAATAGATTAAATCGACTATAAATGCCATGTTAATAAGTTATTTTCATGAATTTTACAGATAAATGTATCCACATTACAATTGCAATATTTTAAATTTTAATCAATAATTTCTATTCTGAGTATATCATTAAATAATTCATCCTTTTATGTTCTCAAAAACTCCGATTACAATACCGAAACTTAATGATAAATTTAATCTATAAAAGCATAAAAGTTACTAAAACTATCAATTATTTTCATTATGACCTATCGCTTTGAGGGATCCGGGATCAATCCCATAAGTTTCTCGGTCAGTTTCTGTTTCGTCACCATCCGATAGGCCCATTGTAAACCTGGCCAAACTCATGGTGGGTATGGAAAAAATTCTTTTTTAATACCCACAAACGGGAAAAGTCATAACAAATAGGCCGATATTTTTATTAGCATATTATTGTTGTACGATCACTTAATATAACTAAATTAACATAAATGAGTTACTATTCACAGTTACTCTAAAATTATTTATGAAATGTTTTTTCACGACAAATTTATTTGTGTCATTTAAAAAAAATTGTTTAGATTTAGCTACTTTCAAAATATTAGGACNCACTTTCAGCCTCATATCTCCCGCACCCTTATAGCTATCGAGACGCAACCACCCCTATGCACGAATGGAGACTTGGGGCTACCACCACATACAAACACCATTCACGTGCGATGTGTAGTTTTGGCGAAAAAGTGAAATATAGGGACATACATGTCCATTTATATATATAGATATAGATATAGATGAAGATTTTCAGCTTACTCCCATTAATGCCATCGATAAGTTGACTTTGATCTCATATTTATTGTTAAAGCGATGAGTAAAGGTACTTTCTGTCACAAAAAAGTAGTCAATAACTACACATTGATTATCTTGCATCACCATTAGAGAGTCGTTTGAATATATTTGATTAATACTCGGAGGAATGACTATAAACGATAAATAAAATTTCAATTTATTTACAATAAAAAGTATAGTATAATATTCAAAATATAAGTAAAGATTTATGACGTATTGAAATACTGTACTTCCATAACGTACAGTACGTACTGGTACATTACCTGCATCATAAATTCGCTTGTCGTCTTCAGAACGTCTTGTAATGCAGTGAGCTCTCCTCCCTTCTTTATTTTCTTCGTTTGACGCACAAGGCTCAATTTTCATCCTGGAAGCTATCAAACCTTTCTGAAAATGCATAAAGTTAAGCAAAATTTTGTATAAATTTTATAAATATTGTTTTGTTCCACTTTTCATTATGATATTCGAAGCTAAAAAGCAACTGATAAAAGCCTCTCCAAGAAAGCTTTGTAGAAGCTTTAATGTATTTAGAAAATTCTTCTCTATTTTATGTATAGAATTGCATTGAAAGAGTAACAAAATAACAATAAAATTAAATCTAAAGAAACTAACTTAAACGTTAATTAATGAATGTTATAATTTTTTAACAAAACGAAAACAGAACAACAATTATTGTATTCAAATCAAATCAGAAAACATACCTTGTATTTTAAAAGCCTAACTTTTGGTAAGTAAAGTAGAGATGGATTTTATTATTTCACCTTTGTATTTTGAATTATATCTTTAATTTTATTTTATTTTTAAATCATTAAATAGATCCACATCAATACCATCATAAAAGTAAGTTTGACGAAAAAAAATGACTCAGATATTATGCTAACTGTAGCTTATATACATGAATGTACTGGTAAATAAAAACGATTGGAAATATTATTTATTTTTCGATACTTAACAGAGATTGCAATTCTAATTAGAAAATAATTCTTATAAAAAATTTAATAATTAAAGCATAAGCAAGTTTCGTGTTTTTCAGAGAATATTTATAATGAATTGCATGTAATCAATAATTTATCAAATATAAAGTAATTTTAGGACTTGTTTAATTCAAGAAACCACTCAAATTTTAATAACAACAATAAATCTATATTTAAACACTTACAATTTCTAAAGGTCCTTCCTCATTAATATACAGAGCTGCATTCTTTTCTTTGTTTCTAAACAGCTTGCTTTTCAAGTTTTTCACATTCTTCATCGAGATAACAGAATATAACAAATAAAATATACTAAAATAAATTTAAATTTACGAAATTTGCAGAATACTCGCCTACGTAATATAGGCCTAAACAAGAAAATACGCACAGTTTTATGAATTTTTCCGTCTCCTTCCATAAAAGTGAAATCATCCGCTATGACATCGCCAGCCGATTCCAATTTCAATGCTATATCATTGCCAAAAGCACGAAGTGTCAGTATTTTCTCCCCAGATCGTAATGTTTCCAGAGATGGATAAGTTATCTCCGTTCGACCTGACACAGGGTTAGAAAATGAAACATTGAATTCCAGTTATAACGTATATTTCATATATCATTTAATCCATAAATTAGTGAAGATGAAACGTAAACACTTACTACTAGGAATGGCCAAAACGGGGCAACAAAAGAGAACAGCTATCACGTAACGAAACATGGTTGATCCCCATCAACACTCCAGTCCTTTTATAGGAAGTTTACACGTGTGCTCCCAGTTGTCGTGATTTTGCAACGTGTGTTACAAGGCGCCGATGACGTCATTCGTAATCTGGAATGTTTTTTAGTGATTAGAACACTGGTAATTTTTCGGATTTTATTTATTACCATCTAAAAGCATAGGAAACATTTTCGAAATTACGTTTTTTTGCTTGTTTCTTAGTTTACCCGAAAAACTAAGAAACCAGCAATGATTGAATTTCACATCATCATTACATGGTTGGTGAAAGAAAATGTGTTACAATATTCCAATTTCTCGTGTTAGTGTATTGCAGCCAGTCTCACATGAGTCGCACGAGGCACGCTATAAAGCGTGAAGTTTTCCCAGTAATTGTTAGAAGGAACCGTGGGTATCTGCAGGAAGGACGAGCCTTTGTTAGTGAAATACCTTTGCCAAGAGGTAGTTATGATTTCGCGAAATCTTTATTATAAGTCTATTTGAAAAGTCGAATTTACCAAAGTAATGTTTAATTATTTGCTTGACTGAAAATCAGGATAAAACGTTTCAGGCTGTTATTTTTTAAAACATGCTTCTAGTTAATTTGAACCATATCCTATTACGTTTTCAGCATTTTTCTTACTAAAAGTTCAGATATTGAATATACGAACCATTCCTATGTAAAATTTACAGGAAACGTAATACATTAAATCACTAAAACGTAAAATAAAGATTATACTTGTTTTTTCACGAAGTATTTTTGTTTTTTAGCGCACCAATAAAAAGTTAGTTAGTTTTCATGACAACAGATGACATTATCTGTTGTCATGAAAACTAACTAACTTTTTATTTGCAAATTTCCTTTCCCATATTCTTATTGTGATAATCAGCAGTTTTCACCGTCATCCGTAGAATGGATTCTTTTCTACACCGCTCTGAGTACTGTAAGGTAAATTATAACCACCTGCACAGTACATTTACAAATTTTAATTGCTTTCATTCAGCATTCTTTATGGTTTGAATTTCATTTCTTGAAAGTTTTCGAATTTTTATTGTTATTAGTAGCTGTTAACCAAAAACCAGTGCAGTAGTCAATTTGGCAGAGGAATACTCCATGTTTTTTTTCAAAGCATTAATCAGCTGATTGATAGAGTGGGAAGAGCATGCAACTGTGGGCATGCAGATGAAGTATACACAAAAAGTAACCATCTCTGTAGAAAAGAAATGAACTCTTCCTGCGTAAAGGTCGTACATAACACAAGTTTGTAGTGATCTGTTGTTATATAGTACACGTGTAAAATAAAATTTTTAAAATGTTAAAATGTAAGCGCCTTTCTTTTGAAGATAAAGTAAAATTATTAGAAGTTAAAGTACACTTTGGAATAACTCTAAGTAGTGCTATTTTAATTAAACATGTAATGCGTCAATTATAAAAATGTTTGTAGAATGAGCCAACTATAATCAAATAAAGCATCGGAGAACGTGCAATTATAAGGAGATGTAGATGTGAGACTCAGCAATACGTAATTTGTTTACGTGCTTAACTCATAACATAACTTCCTAAAAATACCATTTTGTCGCATAACTGTCAACTTTCACACCTGGGAGCTAATCGTTGTGTGACTTCTCAGCAGCGAAAGTGACGCTTTCACGTAACCTTCCGATCTATTGTCTTAAGTTTATCGGTTTAAGATAACAAGAAACTGAAAAATTGAGGCAGTCGTCGGCCGTTCTCCAAAAAGTGCAGTCGTTGTCCCGTCCTACAAGAGACGCAGTCTCCAGTTCCGTATCCCTTTACGTGTGCGCTGTGTGCGCTTTCCACTGGATTAACTTTGTCATCCATCGGACTTATTAAGTGCCTCTTATTTGGATTAACGTCGTTGCCGAACCGGAATACTTGATTGCCTAACTGGACTAACTTCGTCGTCAAGAAACTCAAGACCTACTAGCGAATCAACCAAACTTCACGTATTTATCGCCACGCGAATAGCCTGTGAACTCTCTCACTATTCCACGCGACCCCGGGGAATATTTAGACATATTTTGAGATCGTTAACGATATTACATGTATAAAATATATAAAATTCTACTTTTATTAATAAATTGTTTAGTTAACCTTGTCTTTGTTCGAGTCACTTCCGGCGCGCTGTCTCTCGCTCCATCCGCCCGATCGCCCGCACATGCGACCGCTCGCGTGACTTAAGTTAACAATCTCGACTGAACAGATGTTACACTGGTGTCAGTCCTGACAGAGATAGAAGAGGTGCCGACCCTCCGAATACATTGATGCTCTTTCGTTATCGTTATAAAACAGTTTAAATATACTTTATTAATACTCGGAAAAATAACTAAATTTCAATGTATTTAATATAAAAACTATTGTATAATGTCTGTGGCGTAATTAGGAATTATACTACTTAAAACTATATAAACAATTGAGTTATCTTCGTCTTTCTTTCACCATACCGCCTGAAAGCCCTGAAAGCGAGCGTTTGCCTATAGAAACAAGAGATTCTTAATCAAAATTGCAGCTAAGATGTTTAAAATATATATTTAATATATATAATGTGANTTCAATTTGAAGAATAAATTTATTTCAATATTTATTTTAACCCAGATGACGTTTTATATTTAACACTTTAAAATTTTAGAATTTTCATTTTGTAGCGGAAATCATCATCAAAAATGAAAAAAATATCAAGTGTTTTCTTATAACATGCTTTTTGTTTGAAACAGTAATTTATAAAATTTATCTTTGTATCTTATAACATTGTCAGAGGTGTCTAGCTGACAAATAATGCGTTTGAATATCGAAAAAACGGAAAAGCGGAAGAATCGACATCACATAAGCGTACTGTATGATTTTTCGGACGATCGTTTGTATCTAATTTCTTCTAGAAATGGCTCTTAGACACATTTTAGAAAAATAATTCGATTTACGTGTAAAGAAATAATACAGTTATTCATAAATTCAACGAATAATGTTAAGCCAGATGTTAACTAATAGTAAGATGTTAGACTAACTCACGGGTTTTTAACCTTGTTTTGTTCCATTAATCCCTTTCCAGTAAGGTGAAAATCACGGACCTCTTCTGGGAATAATGTTTTTAGTTGATGCACAATTTTTCCAAACTTTCCTAATTCAGAAGAAATCAAAGTCTATTTAACTATGGCATTAGTGTGAGTAAGCTGAAATCCTTCGTATCATAATTTATTACTATTTGTGAGTTTTCGTGTAGTGTTTTAATGGTTTTTTTTAATACAATCAATGTAATAAATTGTTAATTTTATGTTGTTTTATAGAATATTGATATATTCTAGGTTCAAAATATAATGGATACGTTAAATCTGCGAATAAAGGTGCGCTTGATCGGAGTTACAGAATACAATGTAAGTAGAATGCTGAGAAATATATTAATTAAAACTGCAGGATGACAAATTGTAATTAAATTCTTCACAACGTGTGAAAGGGGACGACTTGTGAAGACATTTTTACTTTAATGTAATCTTTTTTATAAACTTTGTAAACTTTTATCATATAGAGCTACAAAATTTAATAGCCTACTTGGTTATCCTTTATTACATAAAAGTAATAAATTATAATAAAGTTATGTTATAATTTTATTATTTAGCTACAATTTTTATATTGTAATATTTGTTATAATTAAATATTTCTTATAAAATAAAAGTCTTGTTACGAAAGTAAAGTAAATGTATATCAATCTTTATGTTACTTTTTTACTGACGATTTTATTATATTTTTTACACAGCAATTTTTTTTAAATTTTTATTTTCTGTTTTCAGGAAGAAAATGAACCTAATTACATCAAACAGAGTGAAATTGCTGGGCATAAAGGAATTATATCTGTTAATCAATTAATAAGAAATATGATGGATTATTTTTGTCAACACCAAAATGACAAAGGTTTTGAAAAATATAAAAAAGCTAATATAATTATGCTTATAACTAGGTGACAAATTAATTTTATTCTTAATTTTCTAATCTGTTTAAAGCACTTTTAATTATAACGGTAATACTTTATATTCTTTACTGCGTTTTAGACGAACATTTGGTAATCTATATCCGGATGGAAAACTTTTTACATGCATAACAGGTATTTAATTTTACTTATAAATTCTTAATTACATTACCTAATGGCGCTATCTCTAAATGAATTCAATAAAATATTTAATTCATTCATCCCTAAATGAATTAAATATTTTATTGAATTCATTTATGGATAGCGCCTTTAGTGCTGCGGCTTGCGACTCTTGCGGTTAATATGGAGCCGTTAATGTCGGTGACGATCCTCTTTATAGAGATGAAATTATAGCTCACGAATCTGCTCATTTGTAAATAATTTTTGTATTACAAAGAACAATTAAAGTCATTTTATCATCTAACAAATATTTTTCTAGAATGGGCAGCCCTCACGACGGGGAAGGCCTCGAAAAGGAGTCCAGGGGTTAAGGGTTGTCCCGGAAGCGATGGATTTATAATGGGCGATGAGATTGGTGAAAATAAACGAAAATTTTCTAATTGTTCGCACGAGAATATTAAATATTTCCTAAGGTAAATATAATTCCTCTGTGTCAAAGTATTTTAAAATAAAGACATTTTAATAACTTTTTTTATTTTTAACAGCTTGCCGACTTTCCAATGTATTACTCGAGATTGCAAAAAATAAAAAATGATACAATAATGTAAACAATCCTATGAACTGTCTCCAATAATTAGGCTATAGAATATTATAAAATTTCTAATTTGTGAAGTAGAAAACTATAAACTAACAGAATTGTAATACTTTTAACGGTAAATGACGATAAAATAATTTTAAACGATTAATTTGTTTTGCATAAATAAATAACATTTTTTCTTTTCGTTGCAAATCATCTAATACGTTTTACAATGGATTTAATATAAATTCATTATTTATTTTTTAATGCATAGCATCAGTGACGATTTATTTAAATGTTATTTAAACTTTTGTTCGCTAAACATAGCGTTTTAATTAAATACATAAAATAAAATTACAAAAGAAACTAGTAATATAGAAACATATTTATTAACAATATGTTGGCTTCTTTCTTAACACAATAATTAACAATACTGTGACCGCAAGGTCACCATCAAATCTGACTATATGTTGGAGGAAATTTTCGGCTTTGTAAACGACAATTTGTTTTTGTATTCTTTAACGTATACGATAATTTTTATAGTTGTATTCTTGAATATCACATGGCCGAAGAAATTAAAGAGTATTTTTTTTCCTTCTGAATAACGTATTTTAGAGTACAACTCCAATTTTTCAGGCTTTGTACCTCACCATTCGATTATCAGCTTGCTTTAATGATCAAATTCGTAATGATTTAGTAAAAATATCCTATACTTTTACTGCCTAGTAAAAAAAATTAAATTAAAAGCCACTTCTTGTATGTCCCTAAATTAATAATTACTTGAGTAGAACATTGAAATAAATAAGATGAATAGATATAAATTTTATTTATTTGACGAAGTGTTATTTCTACAGAATATTTCCAGAAATAAATGAATATTATGTGAACATCACCAATATATTGGATATTTACATATAAAATATGCTTTATATACTATAATTACGTTATTTTCGATCATCGTAACAATCGTCAAAAAGACAATCGGCCCTAGGAAACCTGTTAAACACAAAAGTATATAAAGTAATATTTACTTTAAATCATTAATTTTAATTAGATAAAATGTCACTTACCTTAGAAAATATAAAATATTTTCTCTGGAACACGAAGAGAATTTCATTTTATTTGCACCTGTACCATCACCCATAATATAACCATCTTCACTTGGACAATGTACTGCTGTTGGACTGCCAGGTAAGCTATCTTCTTCGTCTTCTCCGTCATGAGGACTTCCAATTCTAAAACAGATGTTTCTAAATTGATCTATAATTATCTTATTATTTGTATGATATATGTATAAATATTAAATATTTATATATCTTAATCAAATAAGTCAAAGTCTTATATATATATATATACTGTAATTAGCCTAAATAACCGGCTTCGCTCGAGAAAATGACATGTGAAATAAAGGTAATATATTCATATAAATATTTACACACTTATAAAAATATATGTACAGTACTTGTACTAAACTTATAAGTAATATAATAGATACTACAAAGAAAAAAAAATCATTTTTACGTCGAAATTTACTTTAAATAAATTCTATATCATGAGATGTATTCAGCCGTTCTGACTTCATACTCGAACAGTCAGACAGATAGGCCTGAATTCGAAAGTATTCTATTTTCTTCCCAAGTCTATCCTGAATATATGCACTAACTGTCTTAGAAATCGGTGCATACGATACTCGAACAAACAGACAAACAATTTTAAATAACAATAAAATGAAGGGTGTTTGAAATCATATCTTTTCAAAATAAAATGATCATTTTTATTAATAAAACCTTATTATTAACCATAATTTCTTATATTAAGTTTTATATCTCGTAGTAAAGTAAGTCAAATATGCGTTATTCTTAATAAAATAATAAATTTATTCAGCAAAATATCTCTTCTGTAACAGATAGCTCGTGGTGTCTTACTCTGCCTCTACTAGCTCACAAAGTAACCTATGAGACTAGTGTTCATTAACATCCAAATTGATGAAAAATGACACAAGTTTTTTGTATAAGTTAATATTCTTGTGACTATTTTTTTATTATAAATAATACTTTTTATTAAACTGCTTTATTTATTATGAGATATAACATTCAAACAAAGTTTAAATATCTATGCTTTATGAAATCATTTGGAAAAGTGATGAGATCGTATAAGTTTCCTGTAACAACACTTTTCTATCTCGAAGCTAGAAGCTATTAATTAAACACTGCTAAACCATCTGGATAAACTATTGTAGGTTCGGTCGAACACATAACAAGATTGAAATAAAAGCTGTTATGGATTAAAGTGAAGAAATATTTTTTCATATAAGACGATTTATAATACTTTATAAGTTACTACTTTTTATAAAACTGTATATAGTCATTTACGAAGTAACAATTAGGAATTGAAATGATTCATAAATGTTATTTTCTTGTGCTGTAACTTATTATAAGAGCCGATTACTTACAAATGTGCCGATTCGTGAGCAAAAGTATCATCTCTATCGACATAAGAATCATCATCTTCCACTATACCACATTTTAAACATGGATTACAAGCGCCTCCTAAGTTTGCAATTCCTACAAAAATATTCCAAATATATTTTTATAAATTTAATAAAAATTTATAAAGTGTGCTTTAGGAAAAGAAAAATGACAAATACCTACGGTACCGTCAGATATAATTCCGTTGGAATTAATGTCTCCCAGTTTTCTCCTGAGAAATATGAAAGAATTATTGTAAATCATTATACAAATGAATCAAGTTTGATACAAACCTAGTTATAAGCATAATTATATCTGCCTGCTTGACTATTGGATCCCTTCTTAGTTTACAATAATAATTTGACATTTCATCGAGCAGTTTTTCGGAATGGAGAAGACGTCTTTCTCCCGGAATTGTACTACTTTCTATGAAAGAAGGCTCATTTCTTTTCTGAAAATAAAAACAATATAATGAAAATAAATGATTTCTATATCTCTCTGTCCCTGTCTCTTTGTTTCTCCATTCACTCGTCTTTCTCCTCTTTTCATTCTCACTTTCCTTTTTCTCCCCGTTTACTCCTTTCTTTCCTTCTCTCTCCATTTTTTCTTCACTCTATCCATCCACTCCTTTCCTTTCCCTCTCCCCATTTTCTTTCTCCTCTCTGCATTCTCTCCATTCCCCTTTTCTTTTTTTCTCTCTTCATTCTATCGCCTCTCTCTCTATGTTTCTTTCTTTTTCCCTTATCTCCTCTCTCTTTCCCATTCTGTAGCCTCTCTTTCTCCTCTTTTCTTATCTATTCATAAATAAACATATGTACTTACAGTAAAGAGCGACAATGCAATCAAACGAAGTTTAATTCCCAAATGTAGAGTATCAATCAAATTTTGAGCCTAAGGAGTAAAATGGGTTTGAATTCCCAACAATTTTAAACTTCTTTAAATTAAATTTTTTCTTATAATTATTACGATGAGTAACATTAAGCACAAAATATATCTTACTCCGACAAACATAAGAGATAAATGGACTTTAATATCTTCAATACTCGAAAATTGATGTGTGAAACTGCTTTCAGTTACCAACAAATATTCTATCACTATGCATTGGTCATAGCTTAATTTCTTCATCTTTTGATTCGTGTACATGTTTCTTATGTTTGGAGGAATCACTAAAATAAATCACGAGAAAAAATCGAGTAAAGTTTATATAATTTTTAATGTAACACGTAGACAATTTATAGGAATTGCAACTTACCCACGTCATTGAATTGACGTTTGTTCGATATAATTTTTGTAATTCGGTGAGCTTTTTTCCCGTCTTTGATCAATTCGTTGGATTCATAAGGCATGATTTTCAATTTGGAATTGATAATTCCATTCTAGAAGCAAATAAAATTTTGAAGAACTGATATTTATATTGATCTAAATTTTTATAAACAATTTTTATTATACTACGATTAATGTACCGAAACTTAATAATAAGTTTAATCTATAAAAGCATAAAAGTTACTAAAACTATTAATTATTTTCCTTATGACCTAGCGCTTTGAGGGATCTGGGATTAATCCCATAAGTATCTCGGTCAGTTTCTGTTTCGCCACCATCCGATAGCCCCATTGTAAACCCGGCCAAACTCATGGTGGGTATGGAAAAAAAATGCCTTCTTAAAAAAACTTTCAAAAGAGTAAACAGCAGACAAGCGGTTCTAGAATGAGCTATTAAACATATGCAGACTCCTTCATTGTTTGGAAGCTCGGTGTCTGTTCTCTCTCGTTGTAAATCCAAGCGACAAAATGCCGATCGCGTAAGTCAATAACGATTCAACGATTTTATTCAAAATTTAAGATGTCCAGAGTACTCGTCGTGGACAGTAAATATTTTAAATTTCAACCCAATCGGTTTACTAGTCGAGGAGATATTAAGGGAAAAATTGTTAGTTTAACGTTAAACGTGTGATGGAGCTTTACTTAAGTAAAACAGTAAATAAGTTGTAAAAAGATTTTTACACTTTACGGATGATTTTTTATTTTTGTTTTTATGTTAGTGTTTCCAATGTTCTCTTTTATTCTATAATATTCTCAATTATTCATCTTTTATTAACTACATTTTAATTTTTGATTGCTACTTCTACAGTATTTCATTGCAACAGTGTTATTTTCATTTATAATTGAAAATAACAAATAACAACAGTTTATATTCTTAAAGTAAAATTATTCGTAAGTAGTTAATTTCTGACTATGATCTTTAATACTTGATAAATAATTGGAATAATCAGATAATAAAGAGACATATCTCTCTGCGTTAATTATCTTATCATTTACTTTAGTTGTTCCCAAATCTGTCCATACTAAACGAAGGTACAAAAACTCACATTGCACTGCGCGACGAATGAGAAATATGCCAAGATACTATCATAATAAACAGTAAATGACCAAAAATTTGAAAACTAAAAGTTAAATACTTAATATTTAAACTGTTATACAGTAATACCCCGAACTTACGCGATAGGTGGGACCGAGCGATAACCGCGTAAGTCAAATTCGCGTAAGTCGGGGTATAATTTTGCAATTTGTGTAAAATCCAAGTCGGATGTATGTAACCTAATAAACGTTCTCGTTAATCTTATCTCGTCTTTTGATTCGTTCACGGTTGTAAGAAATCACCAAATAGAGTCTCTCAAATCTCCGTAGATCAAACAAACACAGAAATAAATAACACAAAATAAATTGTAGCTATGTGTCGATTCCGCGCGGCATGTCCGAACACGTGAGCTAAACAATAGTGTGAGGGGAGTGAGTAATCAAGAGTTGCGTGGCGCTTAAACAAAAGACGAATTGACGAGATTTGAAAATCGCGTAACTCCGAGTTCGCGTAAGTCGGGGTAGCGCAAGTCGAGGTATTACTGTATATTATTTATGAAAATTGAATACAAAGATTTCATTTATTTTGAAGTAAAATTTTAAAGCTAAATAAAACTAACTATTGTTAGTGGTCCATCTTCATCGATATGAAATGCTGCTCCTTTTTCTTTATTTCTGAACAGTTTCTGTTTAAAATTACCTACATCAGCCTTAAAACACAAAGACGATTGAGCAGTTAGGTTATTTTTATACGTAATTATAATGAAAAATAAATTTAAAATACCGAATAATGTTTATTTTCATCATTTAAATGAGTTATAGTAAAATTGTCCGCTATTAGTTGGTCAGCAGGTTCTAATATTATATCTACGTCTTGTTCGTCAACACGAAACGTAATTCTCTTTTCTCCAGATTTTAATGTCTTCAAAGTTGGGTAAAATACATCAACTCGATCTGGATTATCTGAGATAAAATACGGTTTAAATTACTTATCTAAATTTCGGTTAAGGTAAATTTGACAGCGTAAAGAATTGATATCGAGGAGCCAAACGATTGTTAATAGAAATAAATGGAAAGGCGGGATAAACTACGTATAAAAGTTTAATGTCGTTTGTAAAGTAAAATAGAAAATTTATGCAAGAGATCATACATTTAAAACAGTAATGCTCTTTGAAATATGTAAAAATGCAAGCTAATAAAAATAAAGAAATTTATAATAAACCTGCAGAAAGAGTTTATTGATAATATATATAACTCTATTTTACGGTTGTTTCTAGAACTTCTTTAAAATATATGTTATATAAATTCTTATTTACTTACCAATTGGCGTAGCCAAAACGACTGTAGAAAATAGAAAAATCTGTAGTAAGGAAAACATAGTTTACAAAAATAAAAATTCTAATTCATTTATAGATATCACTACTTCGGAGTAGAATTGGCCTTTAATTTCTTCTCATCTAAAGGATTTATTATAACATATGTATATTTATACAATAATTCATAGATAGGTAATTGTACTTTGGATGTTTTAACTTTTGAATGTAATCTATTGATATAATCAATATTGATATATAATCGTCATTATACTCATACTACAACATAAAATAATATATATCAAGATATATTATTCTATGTTGTACTAACTGTTTATTGTAAATAGAATGAGATTTCGATTTAAAGAATAAATCTATTTCAAGATTTATTTTAAATTAGATAAATGCTTTATATTTAACATTTTAAAATTTTAGTATTTTGACTATGTAGCGTCGTCAAAAATGAAAAAAATATATATGTTTTGTTATCATATATGCTATATGTTTGAAACAGTAATTTATAAAATTTATCTTCGTATCTTATAACATTCTCAGAGGTGTTTAGCTGATACATAATGCGTTTGAATATCGAAAAGGAAAAGTGGAACAATTGACCTCACCAAAGTATACTGTATGATTTTTCGGATGATTGTTTATATCTAATTTTTTTCAGAAATGGCTCTTAGATTCATTGTAAAAAAATTCGATTTACATGTAAAAACCTAATAGAATTATACATAAATTCAACGAGTAATTTTAAGCCAGATGTTACCATATAGCAAGATATTAGCCTAACTTACTTGTTCTTAACCTTGTTTTATTCCACCAACCCCTTTCCAGTAAGGCGAAAATCACGACCTCTTTTGGGAATAATGTTTAATTGACCCAAGACACCGACACAATGTTAATTACTGTCAGGACGATCCTGGGCTACTGTTCGATGTGGAGTTAGGCCAGGGGTTCTTAACCAGAGGACTGCGGGTTTGCAAGACTAAAAATCAACTTTAACTTTTCTATATTTTAAAAGTTAATTATTGTGTTAAGAAAGATTTCAACATATTACTAATGAATGTTTTTCTATATTACTAGTTTCTTTTGCAATTTTATTTTATGCATTTAATTAACCCCTTTTTCTTTAGCAAAGGAAGTTTAAATAACATTTAAATAAATCGTCACTGATGCTATGCATTAAAAAATAAATAATGAATTTATATTAAATCCATTGTAAAACGTATTAGATGATTTGCAACGAAAGGAAAAAATGTTATTTATTTATACAAAATAAATTAATCGTTTAAAATTATTTTATCGTCATTTACCGTTAAAAGTATTACAATTCTGTTAGTTTATAGTTTTCTACTTCACAAATTAGAAATTTTATAATATTCTATAGCCTAATTATTGGAGACAGTTCATAGGATTGTTTACATTATTGTATCATTTTTTATTTTTTGCAATCTCGAGTAATACATTGGAAAGTCGGCAAGCTGTTAAAAATAAAAAAAGTTATTAAAATGTCTTTATTTTAAAATACTTTGACACAGAGGAATTATATTTACCTTAGGAAATATTTAATATTCTCGTGCGAACAATTAGAAAATTTTCTTTTATTTTCACCAATCTCATCGCCCATTATAAATCCATCGCTTCCGGGACAACCCTTAACCCCTGGACTCCTTTTCGAGGCCTTCCCCGTCGTGAGGGCTGCCCATTCTAGAAAAATATTTGTTAGATGATAAAATGACTTTAATTGTTCTTTGTAATACAAAAATTATTTACAAATGAGCAGATTCGTGAGCTATAATTTCATCTCTATAAAGAGGATCGTCACCGACATTAACGGCTCCATATTAACCGCAAGAGTCGCAAGCCGCAGCACTAAAGGCGCTATCCATAAATGAATTCAATAAAATATTTAATTCATTTAGGGATGAATGAATTAAATATTTTATTGAATTCATTTAGAGATAGCGCCATTAGGTAATGTAATTAAGAATTTATAAGTAAAATTAAATACCTGTTATGCATGTAAAAAGTTTTCCATCCGGATATAGATTACCAAATGTTCGTCTAAAACGCAGTAAAGAATATAAAGTATTACCGTTATAATTAAAAGTGCTTTAAACAGATTAGAAAATTAAGAATAAAATTAATTTGTCACCTAGTTATAAGCATAATTATATTAGCTTTTTTATATTTTTCAAAACCTTTGTCATTTTGGTGTTGACAAAAATAATCCATCATATTTCTTATTAATTGATTAACAGATATAATTCCTTTATGCCCAGCAATTTCACTCTGTTTGATGTAATTAGGTTCATTTTCTTCCTGAAAACAGAAAATAAAAATTTAAAAAAAATTGCTGTGTAAAAAATATAATAAAATCGTCAGTAAAAAAGTAACATAAAGATTGATATACATTTACTTTACTTTCGTAACAAGACTTTTATTTTATAAGAAATATTTAATGATAACAAATATTACAATATAAAAATTGTAGCTAAATAATAAAATTATAACATAACTTTATTATAATTTATTACTTTTATGTAATAAAGGATAACCAAGTAGGCTATTAAATTTTGTAGCTCTATATGATAAAAGTTTACAAAGTTTATAAAAAAGATTACATTAAAGTAAAAATGTCTTCACAAGTCGTCCCCTTTCACACGTTGTGAAGAATTTAATTACAATTTGTCATCCTGCAGTTTTAATTAATATATTTCTCAGCATTCTACTTACATTGTATTCTGTAACTCCGATCAAGCGCACCTTTATTCGCAGATTTAACGTATCCATTATATTTTGAACCTAGAATATATCAATATTCTATAAAACAACATAAAATTAACAATTTATTACATTGATTGTATTAAAAAAACCATTAAAACACTACACGAAAACTCACAAATAGTAATAAATTATGATACGAAGGATTTCAGCTTACTCACACTAATGCCATAGTTAAATAGACTTTGATTTCTTCTGAATTAGGAAAGTTTGGAAAAATTGTGCATCAACTAAAAACATTATTCTCAGAAGAGGTCCGTGATTTTCACCTTACTGGAAAGGGGTTAATGGAACAAAACAAGGTTAAAAACCCGTGAGTTAGTCTAACATCTTACTATTAGTTAACATCTGGCTTAACATTATTCGTTGAATTTATGAATAACTGTATTATTTCTTTACACGTAAATCGAATTATTTTTCTAAAATGTGTCTAAGAGCCATTTCTAGAAGAAATTAGATACAAACGATCGTCCGAAAAATCATACAGTACGCTTATGTGATGTCGATTCTTCCGCTTTTCCGTTTTTTCGATATTCAAACGCATTATTTGTCAGCTAGACACCTCTGACAATGTTATAAGATACAAAGATAAATTTTATAAATTACTGTTTCAAACAAAAAGCATGTTATAAGAAAACACTTGATATTTTTTTCATTTTTGATGATGATTTCCGCTACAAAATGAAAATTCTAAAATTTTAAAGTGTTAAATATAAAACGTCATCTGGGTTAAAATAAATATTGAAATAAATTTATTCTTCAAATTGAATTTTCATTTTATTTACTATAAACATAAGTTAGTACGAGCTAGAATAATATATTATGTGATATATAATCAATATCAATATTGATTATATTAATAGATTATATTCAGAAGATAAATATCCAAAGTACAATTACCTATTTATATATTCTTTCATAAATATATATATATATATAATAAATCTTTTAGATGAGAAGAAATTAAAGGCCAATTCTACTCCGAAGTAGTGATATCTATAAATGAATTAGAATTTTAATTTTTATAAACTATGTTTTCCTTACTAACGATTTTTATATTTTCTACAGTCGTTTTGGCTTCACCAATTGGTAAGTAAATAAGAATTTATATAACATATATTTTAAATAAGTTCTAGAAACAACCGAAAAATAGAGTTATATATATTATCAATAAACTTTCTGCAGGTTTATTATAAATTTCTTTATTTTTATTAGCTTGCATTTTTACATATTTCAAAGAGCATTACTGTTTTAAATGTATGATCTCTTGCATAAATTTTCTATTTTACTTTACAAACGACATTAAACTTTTATACGTAGTTTATCCCGCCTTTCCATTTATTTCTATTAACAATCGTTTGGCTCCTCGATATCAATTCTTTACGCTGTCAAATTTACCTTAACCGAAATTTAGATAAGTAATTTAAACCGTATTTTATCTCAGATAATCCAGATCGAGTTGATGTATTTTACCCAACTTTGAAGACATTAAAATCTGGAGAAAAGAGAATTACGTTTCGTGTTGACGAACAAGACGTAGATATAATATTGGAACCTGCTGATCAACTAATAGCGGACAATTTTACTATAACTCATTTAAATGATGAAAATAAACATTATTCGGTATTTTAAATTTATTTTTCATTATAATTACGTATAAAAATAACCTAACTGCTCAATCTTCTTTGTGTTTTAAGGCTGATGTAGGTAATTTTAAACAGAAACTGTTCAGAAATAAAGAAAAAGGAGCAGCATTTCATATCGATGAAGATGGACCACTAACAATAGTTAGTTTTATTCAGTTTTAAAATTTTGCCTGGATATAAATCATTTTTTTTTTACCTTTTAGTTTTTAAATTTTAGTCATTTACTGTTTGTTATGATAGCTCTTAGCATATTTCTCATTCGTCGCTCAGTGCAATATAACTTTCTGACCCGTTAGTATAGACAGATTTAGAAACAACTAAAAGAAAGAAACAGAGAAATATGTCTCTTTATTATCTTATCATTCTCATTTTTTTATCGAGCATTAAGTCAGAGTCAAAAATTAACCAATTACGAATAATTTTAGTTTAAGGATGTGAACGGTTATTTGTTAATTTTAATTATGAATTAAAAGANGTTTAAATCGCTAAGAATTAACTTAAGAAACTTTAATTTCATATGTTGTTTGATTAAATATAAATTTAGGCCTATATTTAACTGAATACAACGTTTAAATAAGAAAAATTCATTTTATTTCTTTATAAATAGGTGTAAATGGAAATTTTAATGAAGATTTGATATTTAAACTCGATTTCTAATTTTTTTAAATAAACAAATTAATTAATTACCCTGCCGAAGAGTTTTTAAAAAAGAAATTCTGTCATAAAATAACGAATCGAAGAGAAAAAAAGTGAAAATTTTCGCCATTTTTTCGATTTCGATATACCTAAATTCATACTTATTTAGATGATACAAAAGCAAAGAAAACCCCGATACCTCCAGCCAGCAACAGATGACTCAACACACTATTTAAATTCTCGCCGGAAAAGCTATGCAACTCGTCGTCGCCAGACTTTTATTATTTTCTCGTCACCTATGTATGTGATATTACTTGCAATTATTTATTGTGGCATCGTCACAATACCGGGCTGCAATTTTCAAACATATTTTCAATTAATTTAATATTAAATATATGCCCTCTACTTCAAATTAGTAATGGGTTGCCCCCTGTGCTTTATACTTTCCCGTTAGTAATTGAGTGGTTCAGGTCATCTAAGTAACTCAGAGACAGATTATTTCATATGTACTGTCTGATGTTTTTAGACTGATCCGAACGAATGCATTGGATACATCGGGAATGCTTCGAGGATTTAGAAAAAAACATCCATCGAATGGAAAATTCAATGCCGAAAAGTCAACACACTTCTGTACCAATCGAGTGCAAAACGTATTGTTGACGACCGTTTACAATAAATTATCAATTGTTGAAAAACTGAAGGTATTTTTTTGTCTATGAATTTTATTTTACATTTTTTTTAGTTTTTATAATAGATTTAGAGAATTTTTGAAATTCATAATCCGAGAAAAATGTATTTTATTTTTAATCTTAGGGGAGGACAAAAATTTCAAGTCTCGATTTATTTACGCGAATTATTTCATATAATATAATTGTATCATAAAATATAAAATTCAAAATTTACAAGTTTTGAGATGTATAAAATGATAAATTGGAAATATGTAAAGTAGTCAATAAATTGATCAATCTACTACATGTAATTCGTTTAGAGAATTCGTTGCAATCTCAACGATTTTGCGATTTTCTAATAAAAATCAGAGAAGAAAAGAAATGTTTTCTGCGTAAGATCTTCAAAGGGAGATCTTCAGACAAGAAGAAAAATATAGAGAAATGAAGAATGGTTTATATGATTACAACGAGACACGGTGGCAACGAGACAACATGGCGATCCACCGAAAGGAAATGCCCCCATGAAAACTTTCTATGAGGTTTTCATTTGGTTATAGTAACGTAAAGAAAACACAGAAAATCAGTATTAAGTATTAAACTTCTGAATTTCGTTTTCACATATGACTGTTCTGAACTGTGCCCAAAATGTGGGCCAGTCACATATGTCTCTTTTAAAAGTATCAATATTGATTTTGGTTAATTTAATTTTACAAGACCTACGAGCAGTTTGTCGAATTTCGTTACTCATTCTGTTGTTCTTCGAAACGCAGTAAATAGTCTCTTTCGTTTTTCAGTAGGCGCCGCAGTCAAATTTAAATCAAATTAATTAAAAAAGAGTTAATTAACATTCACAAAATATAAATGACATCCAAGAATTCGTGTTTAAATGTACTTAAGTTAAATTAAATATAAAAAAATTTATTACATATAATACAGTATTCTATTATATATAATATATTACATTGCATTTGTAGGCATTTTAAGCATGAAATACGTGACTAAAAAGGTTAAAAATGGCTTTATTTTGGAGATCAGAAATGGATTAATTCATTTTATATCATTTCTTATGTAAAAACTTGTTTCGGTTTTAAAAAAAAACTTTGAAGAATGAATTATGTTCGAAAACCGAGGTTTGAACTGTATTTAGAAAATTCTTCATTTCTTTTTTGTGTATTGTATAGAACATATATTAAAATATAAAATGAACATTGTTACTAAAAAGCTTAATATAACAATCAGTAATTAAAATCGTTTAGCTTTTCATACACAACGAGCAATCATTTATTGTGACGTGGTAACAATGCCGGGTTGTAATTTTTAATCATATTTGAAATTAATTTAATTTAAAATATATGCTCAAATATATGCCCTACCTTAAATTAGCAGTGGCTTGCCCCTAAACATCATACTTTTCCTTTAAGAATAGAGTCGTGCTGGTTAACTATTAACTACTTCTAGAGGAAAAACATTTTGAATTGAAATAACGTGACTTCCGATTTTTATCAGAAGTTTACATATAGTTAATCGGGACTTCTTCCTCCTTAGATATACATAACTTTCCTCAATTTTCATCCATCTAACTTCGTTCTCGAGATTAAGAAAAGACAGTCTGACAGTTGGACGACAGTGGGAATTTATAGGTCTGCAATTTTTTTTTCAAATTGCAGCCTAATCTGTCATAAAATAACGAATCGAAGAGAAAAAAAGTGAAAATTTTCGCCATTTTTTCGATTTCGATATACCTAAATTCATACTTATTTAGATGATACAAAAGCAAAGAAAACCCCGATACCTCCAGCCAGCAACAGATGACTCAACACACTATTTAAATTCTCGCCGGAAAAGCTATGCAACTCGTCGTCGCCAGACTTTTATTATTTTCTCGTCACCTATGTATGTGATATTACTTGCAATTATTTATTGTGGCATCGTCACAATACCGGGCTGCAATTTTCAAACATATTTTCAATTAATTTAATATTAAATATATGCCCTCTACTTCAAATTAGTAATGGGTTGCCCCCTGTGCTTTATACTTTCCCGTTAGTAATTGAGTCGTTCAGGTCATCTAAGTAACTCAGAGACAGATTATTTCATATGAACTGTCTGATGTTTTTAGACTGATCCGAACGAATGCATTGGATACATCGGGAATGCTTCGAGGATTTAGAAAAAAACATCCATCGAATGGAAAATTCAATGCCGAAAAGTCAACACACTTCTGTACCAATCGAGTGCAAAACGTATTGTTGACGACCGTTTACAATAAATTATCAATTGTTGAAAAACTGAAGGTATTTTTTTGTCTATGAATTTTATTTTACATTTTTTTTAGTTTTTATAATAGATTTAGAGAATTTTTGAAATTCATAATCCGAGAAAAATGTATTTTATTTTTAATCTTAGGGGAGGACAAAAATTTCAAGTCTCGATTTATTTACGCGAATTATTTCATATAATATAATTGTATCATAAAATATAAAATTCAAAATTTACAAGTTTTGAGATGTATAAAATGATAAATTGGAAATATGTAAAGTAGTCAATAAATTGATCAATCTACTACATGTAATTCGTTTAGAGAATTCGTTGCAATCTCAACGATTTTGCGATTTTCTAATAAAAATCAGAGAAGAAAAGAAATGTTTTCTGCGTAAGATCTTCAAAGGGAGATCTTCAGACAAGAAGAAAAATATAGAGAAATGAAGAATGGTTTATATGATTACAACGAGACACGGTGGCAACGAGACAACATGGCGATCCACCGAAAGGAAATGCCCCCATGAAAACTTTCTATGAGGTTTTCATTTGGTTATAGTAACGTAAAGAAAACACAGAAAATCAGTATTAAGTATTAAACTTCTGAATTTCGTTTTCACATATGACTGTTCTGAACTGTGCCCAAAATGTGGGCCAGTCACATATGTCTCTTTTAAAAGTATCAATATTGATTTTGGTTAATTTAATTTTACAAGACCTACGAGCAGTTTGTCGAATTTCGTTACTCATTCTGTTGTTCTTCGAAACGCAGTAAATAGTCTCTTTCGTTTTTCAGTAGGCGCCGCAGTCAAATTTAAATCAAATTAATTAAAAAAGAGTTAATTAACATTCACAAAATATAAATGACATCTAAGAATTCGTNTTTATTGCAATCTTGAATAACGCATTGGGAAGTCGGCAAACTGTTAAAAATGAAAAAAAAAGTTATTAAAATATGTTTATTTTAAAATACTTCGACACAGAGGAATGATATTTACCTTAGGAAATATTTAATATTCTCGCGCGAGCAATTAGAAAATTTTCTTTTATTTTCACCGATCTCATCGCCCATTATAAATCCATCGCTTCCGGGACAATCCTTAGCTGCTGGACTCCCGCGGAGACTTCTTTCGGGGCCTTCTCCATCGTGCGGGCTGCCAATTCTAAAAAAAAAATATTTGTTAGATGATAAAATAATATTAATTGCTCTTAGTAATAGAAAAATTATTTACGAATGGGCAGATTCGTGAGCTATAGTTTCATCTCTGTAATCTGGATTATCATCGTCTGTTATAACTGCGCATTTACCACAAGGATCGCAAGCACCACCTAATTTTGCTAGTCCTGAAAGTGTTCAATAAATATTTTAAAGAAAACCGACGTGATTAAGAATTTTATAAGTAAAATTAAATACCTGCTATGCCACGAAAAAGTTCTCCTTTCGGAGATACATCACCCAATTCTCGTCTAAAACGTATTAATTAAAGGATATACTAACAATATAATTAAAAGTGCTTTAAGCAGATTAGAAAACTAAGAATAAAATTAATTTGTCACCTAGTTATAAGCATAATTATATCAGCTTTTTTATATTTTTTAAAATCTTTCTCATCTTTGTGTTGACAAAAATATTTGATCATATTTCCCAGTAATTTATTAGCAGATAAAACTTCTTTATGATCAGAAATTTCACTCTGTTTGATGTAAGAAGGCTCATTTGCTTTCTAAAAACAGAAAATAAAAGTCAAGGTGAAATTGCACTGTAAAAAAATAGAATAAAATGTCCAGTAAAAAAGTCAAAATAATGATTGATATATATTCTTTTTACTTTGGTAACAAAACTTTTATTTTATAAGAAATATGTAATTATAACAAATATTGCAAAATGAAAATGTGTAGCTAAAAAAGAAAAATTTAATTTAACTTTAATTACATAAAAGTAATAAATTATAATAAAGGGTAAATAAATATTAAATTATGTAACTCTTCATATTAAAGTCTACAAAGCTTAGAAGAAACACCACATTAAAGTTACTATGACTTCACAATTCTTCCCTCCTTTCACACTTTGTGAAGAATTTAATTACAATTTGTCATCCTGCAGTTTTAATTGATATATTTCTGAACTTTTTACTCACAGTGTAGGCTGTAACTCCAATCAAGCGCACCTTTATTCGCAGATTTAACGTATCCATTATATTTTGAACCTTGAATATATCAATATTATCTTTTTTAAAACATGATAAAATTAATAATTCATTACAATGATTGTAAAAACACGTTAATACACTGCACGAAAACTCATAAATGGTAACAAATTATAAAATACTAGCTGCAAGGACCCGCTTCGCTGGGTTTTTATTTGTGAACAAAAAGTAACGATAGTGAAGATTAAGATAATTACATTATAGCCAATCTTACCCGTTTTCACAAAATGCAAGAATTAGGTCTCCCGTTTCCAGAGAATTTTCACGAGCATAAAAATATGTTCGATTTCTCGCAAAAGCGCAAAAAACCGCCTGTAAATCTTGCATGCCGCTTTATATTAACACTTCCTGGTCCGATTCTATTTCTGAACGTCTCCTGTTCACGTCCAGTCAAACGAACTATTTTCAACGTTTCTGGAACGTTTACGATCGTTCTATAATCGAANTGTCGAATTTCGTTACTCATTCTGTTGTTCTTCGAAACGCAGTAAATAGTCTCTTTCGTTTTTCAGTAGGCGCCGCAGTCAAATTTAAATCAAATTAATTAAAAAAGAGTTAATTAACATTCACAAAATATAAATGACATCCAAGAATTCGTGTTTAAATGTACTTAAGTTAAATTAAATATAAAAAAATTTATTACATATAATACAGTATTCTATTATATATAATATATTACATTGCATTTGTAGGCGTTTTAAACATGAAATACGTGACTAAAAAGGTTAAAAATGGCTTTATTTTGGAGATCAGAAATGGATTAATTCATTTTATATCATTTCTTATGTAAAAACTTGTTTCGGTTTTAAAAAAAAACTTTGAAGAATGAATTATGTTCGAAAACCGAGGTTTGAACTGTATTTAGAAAATTCTTCATTTCTTTTTTGTGTATTGTATAGAACATATATTAAAATATAAAATGAACATTGTTACTAAAAAGCTTAATATAACAATCAGTAATTAAAATCGTTTAGCTTTTCATACACAACGAGCAATCATTTATTGTGACGTGGTAACAATGCCGGGTTGCAATTTTTAATCATATTTGAAATTAATTTAATTTAAAATATATGCTCAAATATATGCCCTACCTTAAATTAGCAGTGGCTTGCCCCTAAACATCATACTTTTCCTTTAAGAATAGAGTCGTGCTGGTTAACTATTAACTACTTCTAGAGGAAAAACATTTTGAATTGAAATAACGTGACTTCCGATTTTTATCAGAAGTTTACATATAGTTAATCGGGACTTCTTCCTCCTTAGATATACATAACTTTCCTCAATTTTCATCCATCTAACTTCGTTCTCGAGATTAAGAAAAGACAGTCTGACAGTTGGACGACAGTGGGAATTTATAGGTCTGCAATTTTTTTTTCAAATTGCAGCCTAATAAAGAATCTATTCTGTTAATAAATTTATCATCTATATACTAATACAACTTCAGACAGCAAATCTAAACCTTTTATAAATATAAATAATATTAGTTCATTATTGCACTTCAATTAGCATAAGGGACTGATATAATTAATAACTTTATTAGTATTACTGTATATCGTTATATTATAAACATAATATGCAGTGGCGCTTCCACCGCTTTCCTTGTATTTTCTAAAATATGAAAATAATCGCACAATATGTATTTATATTTGAAAGTATCTTATTACAAATTTCTATACTATATGTGAAAAAAAACGATAAGATTACTATTACATATCAGTGGCGGAATGAATGAATAAATCACGAGTAGATTTATAACTTAACCCATCGATAGGAGTTTACTGGTATGATTTTATGATAGTTCTGTATAGTTGACAAGCGTTTAAAAAATCCATTAAAATATTTTATATATTTATTTTGCTCTCCCATCTTGTATTACTTACAGATTTCAATGTTAACTAGTGATATTACGATTTAGTATGTCCCATCTATAAGGGAATGCAGAAAGAAATGTTTACAATTCATGTAAATGTTAAAAAAAAATTAACTGTTACTTTGGCAACATCATTTACAACTAAATGTAATGAATGAGATGCACAAGATACAAAAACCTCTAAAACTTATTTTCCTTAAATTTACGATTTATATATCTGTTGTAATAAAAATTTGTCTTTCCACTACTTTTCCAAGACTACAAATATTCGAGTACAAAGTAACCGGTTTCGACTTATTTCTAATTAAGAAATAGTTAAATAATTAAGAGATTAGGGAATTAGAGACATAAATAAAACACTGTTGAAAGAGCCGAAATTTTGCTTAAACAAAAGTTTAACCGAATCAATCTCTAGCCGAGTACAGTGGGGACTGATTTCTTCGTAATATTACATAATAAAGCCAGAAATTTTTCCAGTTCAATGAGAGTAACCGAAAAGTTGTAAATTTTGGAAATTTCCGTGGACACCATCTGGTCGTAAACGAATTAGTTAGAAAACAAATGACGGACAATCTATTAAGTTTAACATATTTAGATTTTTACGGCTATGGTGAGAAACGTTTAAAATGTACAACAACCCCGTCGCCTCCTTTGAGGTATATTAGTGATGCAAGAAAAGAGGCATTTGACATTATCCGTTATCGGCACCCTCGGGATTTGACAGCTCGCGTGCATGCACCTACCAGAACCGTCTCTGATTCTATCCATTAGCCACTAGTAGGGAGCTATTTGATTAAGTGGACTGTTTTAAGATTTAAAAAGTAAAGAATATTTTATGTTATTTTTATGTACGTTTCTTTACAAAGCTATATTTAATTATAATTATATTGACATATTTTCAGACAAAATCTTTACAATTTTTATCACTTTTAGATGTTAATAATTTTAAATATTATGTAAAACAATTTTCCGAAGCGAGTTTTAATACTTTAAATAAATTTTATGAAGAACTTTTTGATTTATGTAAATTACGTAGTGAATTGCAATATTTATATTCGTGTTTAGACTATATTGGCAAGTCACTCTTAAACATAAAACATATTATAATTAATGATGATCTGAACAAACATGACATGGGTACTTATCGGTTAATGGATAACCCATAAGTATCTAAACATGTTCTAAAGGAATTATATGATTTAATATTATTAATTTTTACGGTACGATCTAAGAGTGAGTCTGTTGAGTGCAGTTTTTTCCATGCAGCGAATTGATTGGCAAGGAACACGCAGTCAAAAGAAAGATTATAGTCGTTAGCGTCGCTTTCGATAGAAAAAGAGCTTTTAAATACTTTGATGGAATCGACGACCAGTAATTTTTATGATAAAGTAATTGACGACTTTGCGGAAAAAAGACTGCCGAATAGAGTTAGTTTATAAAAAATAATACAAACAAGTTTTTATATCTGTTTCGTCTCAATTATCTATTTCAGAATTGAAATAAATAAACTGTTTATTTTTCGTCATTTCAAGTATTTGTTTAAGATTTTTATGGAAACACAGCTTTCCTATCGTCAATTGTCACGGCACGCCACTGCTATCTAATTTTTTCTACAAATGGCACTTAGTCTCATTATAAGTATCATCAAAATAATTCGATTTACAAACAAAGACCTAATCCAATTATTCATAAATTCCATGAATAATGTTAAGTCAGATGTTACCATATAGTGAGATGTTATCCTAACTCACGGGTTCTTAACCTTGTTTTGTTCTACGAACCCTTTTTCCATTAAGGTGAAAATCACGGGACTCTTCTGGAAATAAGGTTTTTAATTGACGCAAGACACCGACACAATGTGAATTATACGATCAGCCATAATTACTCTCACGACGGTTCTGGGCTAGAACATGACTACCAGGATGGTCCTGAACTACAGTTCAATGTAAAGTTAGGCCAGGGGTTCTTAACCTGGAAACTGTAAGCATGCAAAAGTAAAAATCAACTTTAACTTTCCTATGTTTTAAATGTACTGTATTGTTAATTATTGTGTTAAAAAAAAGCGAACATATTACCTAATAAATGTGTTTCTATATTGCTAGATTATTTTGTAATTTTATTTTATGCATTTACTGTAATTAAAACGTTATTTTTAGCGAATAAAAGTTTAAATAACATTTAAATAAATTGTTACTGACACGATGTATTAAAAAATTAATAATGAATTTATATTAAATTCATTCTAAAACGTATTAGATTATTAGCGACGAATTGTTTTATAATCATTTACTGTTAAATAAATTACAATTCTGTTAGTTTATAGTTTTCTACTTAACAATTATAAATTTTACAATATTCTATAATTATTGAAAACACTTCATAGAATGGTCTACATTGCTGTATCATTCCTTATTTTTTGCAATCTTAAATAATGCATTAGACAGTCGACAAACTGTTAAAAATAAAAAAAAGTTATTAAATACAACTAATAAACCAAGCTTACTATACTCATATAGTATTCAATTAACTCTTTCCGGAATGCATTTCGTCATTACTGGTCTTATGAAAAAGACACAGTCTATGGCAAACATTACAGTAATTATAAATTATTATTACAATTGTAAGTTATATCTAAGTTATATCTAATAACCGACTCGCCGGTTCATTTCGCCATTTTTATTCGCATTGTGAATTGTTAATTTCGGTAAATTACCATCGACTTGCTAATGCGAGTACCACGCTGTACTACGCAATNATTAGATTATTAGCGACGAATTGTTTTATAATCATTTACTGTTAAATAAATTACAATTCTGTTAGTTTATAGTTTTCTACTTAACAATTATAAATTTTACAATATTCTATAATTATTGAAAACACTTCATAGAATGGTCTACATTGCTGTATCATTCCTTATTTTTTGCAATCTTAAATAATGCATTAGACAGTCGACAAACTGTTAAAGATAAAAAAAAGTTATTAAATACAACTAATAAACCAAGCTTACTATACTCATATAGTATTCAATTAACTCTTTCCGGAATGCATTTCGTCATTACT